TTATTGTGTTGTTATTCTGATGTTTTTCAAATATTTTTAATCTATGGTTGGTTGAATCTGTGGATGTTGAACAGGCAGATACAGAGGGTCAATTATAGATACATATGGTCACAAATATATGTATATATATGATACACACTTATATTTCCTTGTTCTGTCACCTGAGAGGACCTAGAAGGAATGATACTCCAGTAGCAACAAGCACATCTAGTGCTCAGATCTTGGTTTCTAAGATCACTCTCCAGTGAAAGGATTCCTTAAGAAATGGCTAATTCTAGGACTGAGGTAGGGAATACAGGAATACAGAAGATGAGCCTGAAGCATCTTCTAGTGCCAAAATGTAAAGATGTGTTTTAAAAAAATAACCCACTGGCTGGGCATTGTGGCTCATGCCTGTAATCCCATCACTTTGGGAGGCCAAGGCTGGTGGATCACCTGAGCTCAGGAGTTCGAGACCAGGCTGGCCAACATGGTGAAACTCCATCTCTACTATGAATACAATAATTAGCCAGGCATGGTGGCATGAGCCTGTAGTCCCAGCTACTCGGAAGGCTGAGACAGGAGAATTGCTTGAACCTGGTAGGTGGAGGTTGCAGTGGGCTGAGATCACGCCACTGCACTCCAGTCAGGGCAACAGAGCAAGACTCTGTCTCAAAAAATAATAATAATAATTTTAAAAACCTACAATGATGAGAGTATGACAGAGGGAGGAGTCAACTGAAAGAGATCCCTAGGCCAAAGTTGGAACAATTTGAGCAAGAAAATAAAGTGGTATGGATTATAATCAGAGTATAAAATAAATATATGTGAACCCATACTGTATAAATAAATGATTTAATAAACAAATGGGTAAGAATAGACAGGACCCCCCCCAATGCAGAAGAATTCCAAACAACTTTTGTAGATACTCCACCTCAAAAATATGGAGGATAACTCCCCATTCCATAAGTGTGGCCAATGCATACTGATTTCCTTCTAAAGAGTATAGACTAGGGGGAGTATCTTTACAGTGGAGAAATCTGACAAACACTGCCTCAGCCAGGTGATCAAGGTTAACATCATCACTAATAAGTCATGTTGACACCATGTATCCTTGATATGATGTGATGAGGATGGCATGTTACCTCTGTGGCCTTCCAAGAACACATAACTTCAGTCTAATCATGAGAAAAACATCAGATAAACACCAAGTGAGGGGTATTCTACAAAATACCTGATGAACATTCCTGTCAAGGTCATCAAAGACAAATACAGTGGCTGTGTGTGGCGTCTCATGCTTATAATTCCACCCCTTTAAGAGGTCACAGTGGGAAGATCACTTGAGGCCAGGAGTTCAAGACCAGCCTGGGCAATAGAGTAAGACCCTGTCTCTAAAAAGAATAAAAAATAAATTAGCCAAGTATGGTTGTGCATGCCTGCAGTTAGGTAGTTGGAAGGCTGAAGCAGGAGGGTTGCTTGAGCCCAGGAGTTTGAGGCTGCAGTGAGGTATGATCACACCAGTGTACCAGCCTGGGCAACAGAGCCAGACCCTGTCTCTAAAAACAAAACAAAACAAACAAAATCTGAGAAGCTTAGGTAAAAACTAAGGAAATTTGAATGAAGTATGGACTTCAGTTAGTAACAGTTCATTAATTGTAACAAATGCAACATCCTAAGATGTTAACAGTGAGAGAAACTGGGTGTTGAGGGTGGTTACAAACAGTTCTGTCTTAGCAATTTTTCTGTATAGCTAAAACCATTCTGAAAAATAAAGCATTCTGGCCAGGCGCAGTGGCTCATGCCTGTAATCCCAGCACTTTGGGAGGCCGAGGCGGGCAGATCATGAGGTCAAGAGACTGAGACCATCCTGGCCAACATGGTGAAACCCCATCTCTACTAAAAATCAAAAAAAAAAAAAAGTTAGCTGGGTATGGTGGTGCATGCCTGTAGTCCCAGCCACTTGGGAGGCTGAGGCAGGAGAATTGCTTGAACCCAGAAGGCAGAGGTTGCAGTGAGCTGAGATCGCGCCACTGCACTCCAGTCTGGTTGCCTGGCGATGGGGCGAGACTCTGTCTCAAAAAAAAAGAAAAGAAAGAAAAATAAAGCATTTTATAAAAAGTCCACTAAGTATGATACATTTTGGCTAGAAGAGATAGAGTTACCCAGAGCAGAGGCAGTTTCTCTGGTACATGAGGTCTGCGAGACCTTTGACCTCATACAGATTCTGAAGCCAGAATGCTTAGGTTTGAATGCTGGCTTTACCATTTATCAGCTAGGGTAACATTTAGCAAGTTATATAAACCCTTTGTGAATAATTTCATCTCTGAAAAGTAGGAATGATAGCCCCTACTTTGTCATGTTGCAGTAAGGATTAAATGAATTAATGTGTATAAAGTGCTTTTAATGAGCCCTGGCACACAGTAAATTATATATAAATATTTTGTAAAACTAATAAAAACTATGATGACTAAAAGTTCCTTTAGTAATTAGCTATAATCATACAAGGTAAGGAGATGTGAGTTTGGTTGTTATGAACCAAGTAGTGGTTGCCATAGACATGTCGGTACCTTGACAACCATTATTAGGACATCGCCATAGCTTTCATAAGTGGACAACCTAAGCTGTGTTAATCTGACAAGAAGGCTAGAAAGTTCAATACATCTTCCTATTACTCTGCATATCTTATGTCTTCCATCCAAAATGAATCAACTTATCGGATAAATAATCACCTCATGGTAAGTAAAACATGACATTATCTTCATTTTACGGATAAGAAATTTGGAAATGGTAGGTTTGGTTGAGGTGATATCACTTCAGGCTACTCAGGAGAGGCACTAGAAATAAAGGATCGGACCAGTAATCCCTAATTCAATCATTTTCCCAGTTTGGTTATCCTACCTACCCTTCCTTGTAAAGGAAGAACTTGTATGATGCCAGTTTGACACTTCTTGGTGGCACTGACAAATACAAAGAGACTGACATCAAGTCAGAAGGCTCTGCCAATTATCAGGAAACAAACATGAAGCAGTTACTGGCCTCTTCGCCAAGGGAGATGGCTATCATGGAACCCAGACAATTAGGCTCTGATGTTTCAGGCTCCAGGTCATATTAGCTTCGTGTGCAAAGCTGGAGTAAGGCTGGTTTTGATCACAGGCCATATATAAGGTTTCTCTTTTGTCTGGCATAAGCCAGAGCCATTCTCAAGGAGGTCTTTATGGAAACCTAATGATATCCCAGGGAGTGAGCTGTGCTATAAGAAATGCTATGAAATGTTAGTATTTTGGAATGACAATTCTCCAAAACAGTAAACGACTGAATGACTCTGCAGAACCCTGATAAATTATCCATTAATAAGCTGGCACATAAACTGTGCCCATCAGATAGCTAAGCAAAACCCATCTAAGCATTAACTGAAGTATTTTGTTAACCCAACCAGGGCTTCCTCCAATTCTGGGCTTCAACATACAGTTGTCCCTCACTAAACTTGGGGGAAATGGGTTCCTGGATCCCTTCATATGCCAATATCTGTGCATTCTCAAATCCTGCAGTTTGCACTGTGAAACCCATGTATATGAAAAGTCAGCCCTGCATATACATGAGTTTCACATTCACAAATATCCTCATTTTGTTGAAAAAAATCCTGGTATAAGTAGACTCACGCAGTTCAAAGCCACGTTGTTTAAGGGTCAACTGTAATCAGTCATTAGGGAGAGGTAAATCAAAACCACAATGAAATACCTACCTCACACCTACTAGGACAGCTATAAACAAAAAAACAAGCATTGCTGGTGGGAATGTAGGATATTGTAGCCACTATGCACAACAGTCTGGCAGTTCCTAAAGAGGTTAAATATAGATTTAACATATAACCCAGCAATAAAAGTCCTAGATATATACCCAAGAGAAAAGAAAACATATCCACACAAAAATTTATATACAAATGTTTATAGAAGCATTATTCATAAGAGCCAAAAAGTGGAAACAATCCACTTTTCAAGGATGAACCTTGAAGTGAATACCTTAGGCATTCACTTCCAAATCCAGCTGCACAATGACATCACCGGGGAAGCTTCTGCAGCAGCTCCCTGGAAATTTTTGAGGATGGGACACCTGGATTAATATTTGAAATCCATTAAACTGGATGATCTCTAAGGTCACTTATGGCTCCAAAGATTGTATAAAATCTACAATAATGGGTCACCAACACCCACATCTTTGAAGAAGAGACATTATTGGTACTTGAAACAGATCTCCCAATAGGTCCTTCTGGAAACCTAAGTTGGTTCTTCTCTTAGGCATCATCCCAATCTCCCCAAGGTTGGATAAAGATATTCTTAATGAAAGAATGAATTATGGCTGAAGGGATAGGCCACATCTGATTATGTCCGTGTAGGCTGCAATACTAAGAAATCACCCCATTATAAAGAAAGTTACTCTTTAGCACAGAGCCTGTCACTGCAGTTGAGAATAACTAGTCCCTCCTTCTATGACATTTATAGAACTGGTTGGTTGGATAGAATGAAGTAATAGACTTCTAACAATCCCAGGCTTTCTGTTTGTCAGCACCTGTTTAGTCATAAGCTGACTAAAGGTTCAATGTTTATAATGGGACTTATTTCTTATTTTCTTTCTTAATATTTAAGAACCAAGCTGGGCCGGGCGCGGTGGCTCAAGCCTGTAATCCCAGCACTTTGGGAGGCTGAGGCGGGTGGATCACGAGGTCAAGAGATCGAGACCATCCTGGTCAACACAGTGAAACCCTGTCTCTACTAAAAATACAAAAAAATTAGCTGGGCATGGTGATGCGTGCCTGTAATCCCAGGTACTCAGGAGGCTGAGGCAGGAGAATTGCCTGAACCCAGGAGGCGGAGGTTGCGGTGAGCCGAGATCGCGCCATTGCACTCCAGCCTGGGTAACAAGAGCGAAACTCCGTCTCAAAAAAAAAAAAAAAAAAGAACCAAGCTGAATCATGTTCTTCTCTTAATATTTCTTCTCTTAATATTTAAGAACCAAGCTGAATCATGTTCCGGCTTTTGACCGCCTGCTGGTCTCGACTAAAGACACCAGAAGAGACACGAAGGTAATATTACAATTATTTCCCTAGGCCTACTCCATTATTTCCTCCCACAAATCTGCCCATAGTCCCTCAAGGGACAAATCTTCATAATATATGTTGTTAGGTGAAGTGATTAAGCAGTGTTTGTAAGATTGGAGGCAGGGTTGAGGAGGGATGGCCAATTGCACAAGGTTAAGTAAATCAAGGAAGAAAAGCATCCTTGGGGGCTTTGCTGAGGGGCTCCATACCACCTTCTACTGCTTTGGCTAGGCCTTTTATGGTACATGCATTGGGATTACTGCAGGTCAGAATCCCAGACACTAAGGAAGAGTATAACTCTATGTTTAGCTTAAAACCTAACTGTTGTTTTAAGACTTTGGCTCATTTTTCTTTTTTCATTTCTAGGAATGTGACCATACCTATCATTGGCTTGGACAACTCAGGCAAAACTCTTCTCGTGGAGACATTCCAAAAATGTAAGGAACTAAGAGCATTAGACACTGGTGTGGGTATCCCATGCACTCCAGAATCCAGTTAATAATCATTCCTTCCCAGCATTACTTCATGGCCCTCAGTTTCCCTCTTTTTGTGGATAAACACCTCCCAACACACACACTCGAGAGTCTCTCTCCCTCCCTCCCTTCCCCACGTTACAAAAACAGCCTGTTTATGTAATGTCTGTCACCTGCTCCCTTTACAAGATATCCTAATTGAAAGTCCTTTCATAGGGTCGGCACACATGAATTAAAACTATGTAAAGCATTGCAGTCAGTTATGAAGGATAGCATGTTTGAAATGATGTCTAGTTTCAGGGCTCAACTAAAGTGCAATTTGATCTAGATAAGAGAGACAAGTGTGGGATGATGAAGTTTAATAACAGGAAATTCTGTGACAGCTAATATGCAGAGTTGGAGCTTGAGAAATGTTGTCAGTTCCGATATGTGCAAGTTTAATACCAGATCTCTAGTTTAGTATCTTGACATTTCAAGAAGCAGTTACAGAGAATTTCAGAAAGCTACTATACTACTTGTTAAGGAGCAATCAAAGAAGCCAGTACTATCTGTCACAGGATGCCCTCCACCCATGTTTATTGAATAAATGAAGTAGTATGATGACATGGTTGAGTTTTATCTAACCTGGCATCCTTGAACAAAAAGGGCTAACCTGACTCCTCTGCCACTGACCTACCTGAACTCCTCATCAATTTCCTTAAACTATAGCAACAGCCTTCTGGCTGATCTTGTCATCTCCAGTTGTCCCCCCAGTATTCAATCCACATAGCTACCAGAAGGACTTAATATAAAAGTCTGATCATGGCACTTCCCTGCTCAAAACTGTTCAATGCCATTATCTTCAAGATAAAACTTAAGTTTCTTAGCAGCACACAAAGCCCTCTCTGAGTTGGTCCCTGAGTCTTCCTCCAGCTTCATTTCTCATGCTCTCTGCACATGCCCTCTAATAAAGCCACAACAAATTACTTGCCATCCCCCTTTCCTAGTTCTGTACATATTGTCCCACTACTTAGCATTTTACCTCCACCATGATCTACCTGCTAAATCAGAAGCCTCAAGTCACAGCACAGCTGGACGTCAGGAAAGCCTTCACTATCAGTGCCCTCCTTCAGCTCCCACTCTATTCCACGCATCGCTCTGGCACGCACTTATTACAACATCATCAGGCAACTGCAAGTCCATCCCCTAAATTGTGAGCCTCTTGAGGAGAAATAATGGATCTTTTCCTCTCTGTATCTTTAGCCTGTGACTTTTTAGCATTTTCAGGTAGGTATTCAGTAAGTATTCATGGAATGGATATTCTGCCCATTCCACCATTCACCTGATACAACATGTTGCCATTTTCTTTTCTATTCTTTATTCTTTTTTTTTTACCCATTTATTTATTTTATTGCATTTTAGGTTTTGGGGTACATGTGGAGAACATGCAAGATTGTGTGATTTGCTGCCTTCCTCCCCATCACCTACATCTGGCATCTCTCCCCTTGCTATCTCTCCCGAACTCCCTACCCACCACCGTCCCTCCCCTATTTCCGCCCAACTGACCCTTTGTGTAGTGCTCCCCTCCCTGTGTCCATGTGTTCTCATTGTTCAACACCCGCCTATGAGTGAGAACATGCAGTGTTTGATCTTCTGCTCTTCTGTCAGTTTGCTGAGAATGATGGTTTCCAGGTTCATCCATGTCCCTACAAAGGACACAAACTCATCGGATGGAGTCTTGCTCTGTTGCCCAGGCTGGAGTGCAGTGACACAATCTCAGCTCACTGCAACCTCTGCCTCCCAAGTTCAAGCGATTCTGTGAATCTGAATGCCTCAGCCTCCCAAGTAGCTGGGATTACAGGTGTGCACCACCACACCTGGCTAACTTTTTGGATTTTAGTAAAGATGGGGTTTCACCATGTTGGCAGGGCTGGTCTTGAACTCCTGGCCTCAAACAATCTTCCTGCCTCAGCTTCCCAAAGTGCTGGAATTACAGGTGTGAGCCACTGTGCCTGGCAACATGTTGCCATTTTCTATAACAACTTCCTCTGTCCCATTAGCGGCTCCAAGCCTCATATTTTAACCAATGGGTTCAGCCTTGTATTCCCGCTTGTAGGAAACAAACTTAACTCCTTGCTTCACCCTATTCTCTAATAGGCAGAAATATTTAAGAAGTTAAATAGCAGTAGGAAAAATCCAGGAGCCAGGAAGAATCACAAGATTATTGAAAACAGTGGGGATAATTTTCTAGAACCCCAACTCAACCTCGCCCCTGGATTTCCTTTAGTCCGGGTATGCCGTAGGAATCTATATTTTAAGACTTCCCACTGGGCGCAGTGGCACGTGCCTGTTGTCCCAGCTACTTGGGAGGCTGAGGTGGGAAGATCCCTTGAGCCCAGGAGTTCTGGGCTGTAGTGCACTATGCCGACCGGGTGTCCGCACTAAGTTCGGCATCAATATGGTGACCTCCCGGGAGCAGGGGACAACCAGGTTACCTAAGGAGGGGTGAACGGGCCCAGGTCAGAAACGGAGCAGGTCAAAACTCCCGTGCTGATCAGTAGTCGGATCGCCCCTGTGAATAGCCACTGCACTCCAGCCTGGGCAACATAAGGAGACCCCATCTCTTAAAAAAAAAAAAAAAAGTAGAATTCCCCAGGGGTTTCTGATGGCCAGCCAGCTTTTGGAAGCACTCACCTGGAATTAATGGTATGCTATTTTGCCTGTGAGAATAGTGTCTGTTTCCCATTTTAATTCCTAGAGGACACTGCCTAGAGTCTATTTACTTTGTTACTGCATAATTTGCCTTGTGCTCAGTGAATACCTGGGGAGTGATTCATAAATCTATTGGTTGTGACTACATTCACAGGGAATTTTTTAATGGGCATGGATATCACATTCTGAAGAATGTCTCAGGCCACTTCTGTCTATGCAGGACCACCAGAATCAATCTAATAGGTTCCTCTGTGTCCAAAATTGAATAATTCACCTCCCTTGTCCCTGTGAGTTTTGTTGTTGTTGTTTGGTTTTGGGTTTTGTTTTGTTTTGAGACGGAGTTTCACTATTGTTGCCCAGGCTAGAGTGCAATGGCGCAATCTCGCCCCCCTGCAACCTTAGCCTCCTGGGTTCAAACAATTCTTCTGCCTCAGCCTCCCAAGTAAGTGGGATTACAGGCCTGTGCCACCATGCCTGGCTAATTTTTGTATTTTTAGTCGAGATGTGATCTCAACATGTTGGCCAGGCTGGTCTCAAACCCCTGTCCTCAAGTGATCTGCCTGCCTTGGCTTCCCAGAGTGCTGGGATTACAGGCATGAACCGTGCCCAGCCGTATCCTACTCTTTGTCTCCACGAGTTCAATTATTTTACTCTATGGCTTCCATGAATGAGTGAGAACATGTGAAATTTATCTTTCTGTGCCATAAAATATCTTTCTGTTAACATAATGTACTTGTTCTGTCTGTGTTGCTGCAAATGACAAGATCTTATTCTTTTTTATGGCTAAATTTTATGTATCCATTGTGTATATGTACTACATTTTCTTTATCCATTCATCTGTTGATGGACACTTAGGTTGCTTCCAAATCTGGGCTATTGTGAACAGTGCTGCAATAAACATAGGACACCAGATAGCTCTTTGACATACTGATTTCCTTTCTTTTGCATACATATACAGCAAGTGGATTGCTACATCACATGGTAGTTCTATGTTTAGTTTCTTGAGGAATCTTCATAGTGGAACATAATTTATCTTCCCACCAACAGTGTATGAGGGTCCCCCTTTCTCCACAGCCTTCCCAGAATGATCAATGTGCTGAGGAGAAGAATGCATATCCTGCATTCATTGGATGAAATGTTCTATAAATATCTATTAGGTCCATTTGCTCTATATTGCAGATTAGGTACAATGTTTCATTGCTGATCTGTATAATCTGTCCAATGTTGAAAGTGGGGTGCTGGAATCTCCAATTATTACTGTATTGGGGTCTATCTCTCTCTCTTTATTTAGCTCTAACAACATTTGCTTTGTATATCTGGATGCTCCAGTGTTGGGTGCATATATATTTATTATTTTTATATACACTTGCTGAAGTGATTCCCTTATCATTATATAATGACATGCTTTGTCTCTTTTTATAGTTTTTGTCTTGAAATCTGTTTTGTCTGAAGTATAGCTACTCCTGCTCTTTTGGGTTTCCATTTGCATGGGATATAATTTTATAACCCTTTCAGTCTATATGTGTCTTTGTAGATGAAGTGTGTTTCTTGTAGGAAACAGATTGTGGTTTTTTGTTTGTGATTTTTTCCACTCATTCACCCTATGTCTTTTGATTGGAGAGTTTAGTCTATCTACATTCAATGTTATTATTAATAAGGACTTACTGCCATTTTGTTATTTGCTTTCTGGTTGTTTTGTGGTCTTTTCCTTCCTTCCTGTCTTCCTTTTTGTGAAAGTGATTTTCTCTGGTAGTATGTTTTGAGTTATTGCTTTATATTTTTGTGTATCAGTTGTAGGTTTTTTGATTTGAAGTTACCATGAGGCTTGCAAATAACATCTTATAACCCATTATTTTATTTTATTTTAATATTCATCCACTGCCGCCTGGAAACCCCATTATTTTAAACTGATGACAACTGTGATTGCAAAAACAAGAAAAAACTAATATTAATTGTACACTTTAACTTCATCCCCTCTGCTTTTTAACTTTTCGTTGTTTCTACTTGTATCTTATTATACTGTCTTTAAAAGTTGCTATAGTTGTTACTTTTGATAAGCTCATCTTTTAGTCTTCCTACTCAAGCTATGAGTACTTTACATACCACAATTACAGGGTTATAACAATGCTCTGTATTTGTCTGTGTGACTTACTGTTACCAGTGAGTTTTATACCTTCAGGTGATTTCTTATTGCTCATTAACATCTTTTTCTTTCAGATTGAAGTACTCCCTTTAGCATTTCTTGTAGGAGAGGGTTGGTGTTGACAAAATCC